TTTTAATGACGTCGAATCGAGGAAAAGGAAAAAAAAGCATTGCTACACATTTATCGTAAGCTTTTCTATAATATATAATATTATATTTTCTATAATATATAGCGACGCATGATTTTTGATAACTCTATTTTACTTTAATCTTATAGTGACACGGTTGCGAGAAGGTTATACATTTGCATGTTGTGTGGAAAAAGCTTGCAGAATTTAACACTGAATAGTTTTCCAATGATGGAAGATTGCAGTCTGAGCGGTGAGTGTTGAAAATGAAAAGTTTAATCGATAAATAGATTGCTAATGTTTATGTGCTTATAGCAAAAACATAGTGTGCAAAGCATTTATAAATACAATGTAATTTTTATTTGGCAAAACAAATTTCTATTTCAATTCTACTTAGTTTTATGTTTAAATTTGCATAAGAATCTGTAGTCTATTGAGAAATACATTCTTTTAAGTGTAATATTTTGGTTATTTCACAGTTATCTATATAGATTTTCTAAAAGTAACAAATAATTAAAGATTGATCAGAACAATTAATTAATTTGTAAATTTGTGTAATACTAGTAATCGTAAAAGATTTGAAGTTTTAAATAAGATATTTTGTTTTGGTCTGCCTATTAAAACTTAATTTATTTCCAATTTATTGATAAGTACATTCTTTTAGTATTTAATATTTTAATGTTAGATTAATTTTATAAAAGATTCATAATTTGAAAGTAGCAAATATTTGAAAATTAACTGCGAGAATTTGTTAGAACAAATTTTAGTAAAGATTTAAAATGTTCATAGGTTATTTTCATCATGAATAACTTGAAACTTCTTATTCTGAATGATATGTATATTATTTTGTGTCAGTTGATTGCAAATTTGCTTAATTATTATTTTAGGAAAATGGTAAGTACAACTTCTAATTTTCTAATAAATATTTGAACAATTTCTAAGAATAATTGCATGTATATATAATATTATTATCATTATTACTATTTATAAATGTATAATTAATAAAACTTGAGATACTCTTTCTATTAAAAAATGCAGATAAAATAAAACATGAGTAAAAAATACAGTATACAATTATATCATTTTTTATTTTAATAAAATATATTATTTTGATAAATTTACTGCAGTTTCTAAATGTATATTATTTCTGGTAAAATATCTTACCTGTGGAAAAAAATATATGCAACTTTTCTTTTGAACTCTTGAATTATATAAGAATTTATTAACATATTCAAATTGAGTTTAAAATTTGCATGAAGAATTATAGTATATTGAAGTATTTATCTATTGGAAATTGTATTATCTGACAGAAAATCTCAGTATAACTTGTAGTATAAAACAATGAATTTCTATAAGAAAATGAAGTACAGAGAAGCTTTTTACAGAAATATAAAACTTTACTCTGTGAATCTTTGAAAAAAAATTACTCTTTTAATTAATTATACAGAGTATAAAGAGGAAAAAGTAGCATTGTTTTTTAGTAACATGATGATGTGTGAAATTTTTTTAAAAATACTCCTGATTTTTTAAATGAAATACTACATATTTTTTTATATTATCTAGTTGAATTAAGATGAATTGAATGATTTACCATAAAAATGATCTTCAAAATCATATTATAAAGTCAATATAAAGTCATATAAAGTTAATATCAAGATATTAATGTATTCTATTAATATTTCTACATTATTGTCTATAATCTATAGAAAATGTATTTAACATTGGAAGAAATTTCTGCACGTATCACTGATTTATATTACTTATATTTATATTAACTTCTATGTTCTATAAAAAATATATTTTATTCAATACAAGTTTTTAATCTTCCTCTGTTAAATTTTATTATTTTAAGATAATAAGGAGGATGACTTAATGAAATATCGATATCGATGATGGATTAATTTCAATATGCAGAAAATTCTTCCAAAGTAGCAACACCTGCTATCAATTACTATATTAGATAATAACTTTAATATCGATTCGCCAATTATATTCCACAGTCATTTTAGAACGACACAGTAATTATCATAGGAATAAACAGCGAAATGAAAATTTCTTCAATGTTTAAAAATTTTTAGAGAGAATTGTTTCGATCAAATTTCAAGCATATCATCTTCGTAGCGTACGTGAGTAAAAGTATACTTTAGGAAACGTGTAGGCGAAAGCAGAGACCTCGTTACATTCCCCACGGAATTTATGTTGATTATAAACATAATGCACGGTGTTTTCGTGGAAGTACCGAAAATTTAATCGGTAATAACGTTGATTAATGTAAGATTAAACAAAACAAGGAATTTGATTTTGTTAAATTGAAGCTTCAGGATAAAGTTTTCGAAGAATTTTAACTGTGACAATATTGATTTTTGATTTTTGGAAAAATTTGAAGTTCAGTATTCTCAAGTTCAATTTTTGAAAATCTCTTTATTAGTTTATTGGTGTGTAGTGCAGTTCTATTTTTAAATTGCAAACAATATTTAATGGTTAGGTTAGGTTAGGTTAGGTT